TGGAAGGAAGATGTGGGTGAAAGTGAGGATGGACCTCACAATCCAATTCGTAATTAATCTAAGGAAACAAACTTGCTAATCTTTACACGACGTCGAAGTGTACCTTAAAAAATTGTTATGTATGTATTTATTTATTTTAAATAATAGGTCTTAAGTTTACGGTTTTTTCCACTTGTTTATAAATGCATATTACAAAATAAAATTCTTACTTTTCCTTTAGGGACGAAACAAGTTGATAAATGATTTTCTTTTCTTTATTGATATATGTTTCAAATTCTATCCGATTAATGTTTGTGTTCACGCATAAAACACTAAGGAACAGAGTTTGATATTAGCTTATTATTATTATTATTATTATTATTATTTTTTTTTTTTCTGCGCTGTCGATTTTGTCATTGAACCGTCCGATTATTTCCTTTTAAAATTTGGCTTAGGTATTATTATTTGCATATATATATATATATATATATATATATATATATATATATATATATATATATATATATATATATGTGTGTGTGTGTATATACAGAGAGAGAGATATATGTAAATGTACATTTATATTGAAATATATATCTACATATGCATACATTATCTATCTATCTATCTATCTATCTATATATATATATATATATATATATATATATATATATATATATATATATATATATATGTATGTATATATAACCTCTTTATATTTAAATATATACATATATATATATATATGCATATAGTAAAATATATTTAAGCTATAACTATATTTTTATTTGCAATATATATATATATATATATATATATATAAAAGGGATTTATATATTTATAGATATATATATATATATATATATATATATATATATATATATATATAAAACCTCTTTTATATTTATATATATTTGCATATATATATATATATATATTCTGTATGCATATATATATAAAAACAACTTTTATATTTCTATATACATATATATATATATACATATAGTAAAACTTTATTTTCAAGCTTTTTTATGCTGTTTTACAATTTTTATGTATATATATATAATACTATTACATATATATATAATATATATATATATATATATATATATATATATATATATATATGTATAAATATAAAATATATTTTGAATTCAATCTGTTTATAAATCGTCAGTCCATATATATATATATATATAAATATATATATAACATATCAATACAAACATATATATACATATATAGAAATATTGCACTACAATTACATATATATATATATATATATATATATATATATATATATATATATATATATATATAAATATAATAATATATTATATATAAAAAGTAATATTTTATAAATATATATATATATATATATATATATATATATAAACAAATATTTTACATTTATATAAAAGTTATATATTTATATATATATACTATATTTCACAATGTTTTTCTCGTATATATATATATATTACAAAATATACCATATATCCTTGCCTTCAATACTGTCGCCATATCTGTTCTGGTGTCTCTGCTATCCATCTTGATGTTCTTGATAAAATCCAAAGAAGGATCTGTAATATAATCGATCCTGACCAGATTTCTTGACTTCAGTCACTTTCTTACCAATGTAACGTGGCTTCCCTCTGTCTTTTCTACAATTATTTTCATGCCAACTGTTCTGACGAGGTTTTTGCTCGGTGCTCTGACTACATGAATTTAAGCATGCTACTAGATTGGTATCTTGGTCCCACCCTTATACTGTGGAAATTGTTAAATGCAACTGCCACTTCTACTCCAAAAGTTTCTTTTCTTGCACTTCCAACCCGTGGAACAACCTGCGATTTTAATGTTAATTTTTTTTTAATGCAACATCACTCGACATCTTCAGTCTTTTTAAGCCAAACATCTTTTTGTCCTGTCTAACCCTAACCCTATTCTCAGTGTCTTCTATTTCACTTTCACTCCCTGTAACCCTCAGCATTCTAGAGGCATGCCCGCCTTGCTTCGGATCAAATGCTCGTATATATATATATATATATATATATATATATATATATATATATATATATATATATATATATATATACCACATTGTTTTTTCTGATCTCTAACCTCATTTATAATTAGCATTTCAACTGTAGCACTCTACCTTGAAGGACTTGAAGACTAGCTTTTTTTTTTCATTCCATTTAAAGAATTGAAAAAAGTTGCTCATATCTAAAATCGATCTCCCAGCTCATCTATCTATCTATCTATCTATCTATCTATCTATCCCAACTTTCCATATCTATCTATCTATCTATCTATCTATCTATCTATCTATCTATCTATCTATCTATCTATCAATTCAATTCTAGCTTTGACCAGTCGTGTGTGCCGCACACGACAATACCTTTTCGAAAAATATCGGATAGGTGTAATACAATCTTCCGTTTCCTCTTGGTATGCTTCTAAAATGCACTATCATATTATTCTCTCTCCCCACCCGTCTCTCTCTCTCTCTCTACAC